AAGTACAAATACAGCATATATGGAAATCACTTTGGGTTGAAAAAGCGAAGGCTCTGCCAGCCTTCCATGCCTTTTCTGGAGCTGATAACACAGGTAGATTTTTTCTCGCATTGGGAAGACAACTTGGTTCAAGACGTTTCTTAAAGAGCCACCGAAGACACTGTTGAAGCTTTGCAGCTGCTGTGTTGTAGAGAAGATCTTGATGAAGAAACCTTTTCAACATTAGCTAGATTTGTATGTGCTGTGTATTGTCCAAAAACAATCACCTTGAATGAAATTCCTGAACTCAGATGGTATCTCTTTTGCAAGCACATGGCTGAAAGTGATAGGCTCCCTCTAACACTTGGTGCCTTGAAACAACACCTTCACAGAGTTCAGATGCAGGCATGGGTATGGGCTCAAGTTCATGTTGCCAAACAAGTCTTCTTGGACCCAATGAGATACGGGTTTCATAGGGATAAGGATGCTCAGCTTAGACCAGTCACCACAGATGTTCTGCCAGCTCCCCAGGCTATTCTCGAGATGGTTCGATGCCAGTGCAAGACCGACTGTTCAACTCAGCGGTGTACATGCAAATCAAAGGACTTACCATGTACTGAACTTTGTCAATGCAGTAATCAGTGTGACAATGAAGAGTCTCAAGTGGAGGAAACAGTTCCTGATGATAACTTTGATGAACTGCTGTAAATATATCTTATGATGAGTGTGAAAGACCTCTCCTTTCGGTGACATTGTGGATATATACTTTCATCATTAATGACAACTTTTCGATTGGAGATATGATTACATGTCTGAAATGGAAATCACGATGATATTGATGACTTGCTGTAAATGGTGTTGTGTATTTGGTGCTTATACTGTCTGAAGATTGCAACATCTGAGGATAGACATTAAGCTATCCATTCTGTGACAGTGTGGACATTCATCTTCAACCTGTTCCTACGCTTACACCACTGATCAACAAGTTAGTAGTTTTTAACAGCTAGTGTGGTTATCATAACATTCATAATATTCTTGTTTTATACAGAGCAAAATACGTATAACAAAATACAAGTGTCTGGGAGTTCAGTGTATAGATATATATCATAAATAGCTGATATGAAATATGTAATGTTTAGATTTTGTATATAATAACACATTTCCCCTTCATGTATACACATTAACAGTGTCTTTGATACTGGGGTGCATACAAGTAATCCTTAACAGCATAAAAGCTTCAAATATATACTGAAAATAGAACCAGAATTGTACTTAAAAGTGAAAAAAAAGGGTGGCACATTATTGAATGTGGCGGCCATTTTGAAATCAAGATGGCCGCCAATGGGGTGATGGGAAAAATTGGAAACATTGTTTTTTACATCAAGTGTAGTGAGTGGTTTAAGAAAATGTATACTGTTGCTAATCTCCAATTTCTTTGAACGAAAATACATAATCCATTGGACTATTATAAGGATGCCTTCAATACTGGGGCTTTAACTTTGACAAACAAGCTGAAACAAAGAACTAACTTCCAAAAGGATAATTTTATTTATTAAAATAACATCTTTGTGAGAACCTTAAAATCTACTAAAATTGAAAATGTACATATTTACTTTTACAATAATTCAATTTCAGGCTGATAATTTTCTTCAAAGAAATGAATTTATCAAGGTCAGTGTTATTTGAATCTAAATGATCTTAAAGATGGAAATAATTTGATATAATGTACTTTAATCTGTAACAGGAGCGACTCAAGGAGGAAAGCCACTAGCCTAAAGAAGGCTATATTCCAGACAGGCGGAGGGCCACCACCATCTCCACTGAGTGACTTTGAGTATAAGGTATATTGCATAAATCTATATTTGTATGAGGAAACTTAAGTAATGAAATTATAAAATTATGAATTTAAAAACTTGATTAATACTGGATGTTGTTGATATGAGAATGTATAAATCAATGATATTTTCAGTATCATGGTACTGTCACTTTTTTGTACTGTTTACCTGCACATGTCTCAAGTTAAATTTTTGCATTGTCACACCTGTAACAATGTGTCTATGTATAATCAAATTTATGCTTTTGTTTAATTACTGAAAAGTTCATTTAATTTTTTACAGGTGGTGTCCCTCATTCCATCAGTACAAATCAATGGTTGCACAGGGGGGTTGGATAGTGAAGACTTGTCAGGTATTCATCCGTTATCATAAAACACTTATGATATACAAGTGATCACCAAGTAATGTGTGAAATTAATGTTTTGTATAAGTGACAGTATGGGGGCCTATAGCATAAATTGCATAATGATAAGTTGTGCCCTAAAATATTTGCAAACCAGGAACTTACCTCTTTGTCTAAGTGTCATGTACTTTTTTAATATTCCAAATAAATTTATATATTTTTGTTAAAGAATATACTTGCAAAGGTATTCTGACATATAAAACATTAATTTCCAGCCTTCTCAGGATTGGGTAGTGTGTTGTGTGATGCAGCTGTTCCCTCGACTTCAACTAGCAGCAACAATTTGAATGTCCACTCTGCCCGGACATCACCTATCCTCCTGTCCTGCACTCCACCTCGACAAGCAGCACCACCAACACCGCATGATCCACCAGCATCGTTCCAATTGTCACCAGTCATAGGTAATAATATCACATCGCAAATCATGATAATTATAGATTTATCTCGTTTAGATTTGGTGTGCAAAATTAGACAATATACCTCAGACTAATATATGAGGATATTTGGTGTTTTCAGTGTGATATCACTTACTACGTCACTCAATGAGAGATCAGTGATATTACAATGAAAATAAATAGAAAATATGTCCATTCTTGACAAATACAATGTTTATCAGTCTATAAATACTTAACATTTTAATAAATTCCAAGATTTAACTTCCAGATTTCCAAGTTCCAGTTCAATACTATTTTCTTATAGTAATGGAAGAATTATGTATACGTACTGCATTTATAATTTGATGCAGTCAAAAAAACAATTTAATGTTATTACATTCAAATTCTGCAATATATCCTTGAAAACAATTATATTGTGAATTTTCTTTGTAGTTTCAAGACCTGTGAGCAAGAAACAAAAGACAAAAGTTCATACACATGGTAATTATTAACCTTTGTAATGTCAATGAGTAATATTTCGTAATGATTGTATGATAAGTTTTTTCAAAGATGAAATTGTCTCATATGTTAACAATGTGATATACCAGTTCAACTTTACAAGGTACAATGCAATCAATGAGTATTGCAAGTAAGTTCCTTTATAGTAAAAAAATACAAAAGGAAAAACAAAACAATGTTTGTATCTGAAATTGTTGAAATTTATTGTGGATATGACATGATTGTTGTTTGTTTTTTAGAAGATAGTGCAGCCCAGGCAGCTGAAGTGGTCCAGCTTGAGAGGGAGAAGGTGGCCATCATGCGGGAACGCTTGCAGATCGACAGAGAGCGCCTGCAAGTTGAAAAAGAAATACTCAATGAATTGCGGCTGATGAGAAAACAGGCAGATCAGAATGTAACTCCCATGTGCATCTCGCCGATCATCACATTTGACTCTTGAATGTATATACAATACTTTGCTATTAAGAAATTCTTACAATGAAGTGAACTTAATCCATATTGTCATATGTTGGGGATGTGAGTAGTTCAAGCTTGTTCGAGTTGTCCTGTTAAATTATCAAGTACCATTGGTTGTTAATAATTTGTATGAAATCATTTGTTGTTACAGAAAAATATGTACCTTAACTGCAGGCTAGAACTTTAGGAAAATATCATTAATACACTAAGAAAGAGTAATCCTAAATAAAACATATGTTACATTACAAATATCATTATCAAAATTTCATGGCTTAAATCTTAGAAAGAGAAATGTACATGATAACAATAATAGTTTATGTCATTATTGTCATGAAGGCAATGTCAAGGATGAGTGTCATGAACTTTTCATTTGTAAAAGTTTTAATTTTCTTAGAAACAGATACCTCCCTATGTTCACAACTTTGTACAAAGATGATCAACTAATGGAAAACTTATTAAACTCAAGAAATATCAATCTAATATTATTTTTGCAAATAGAAGTTCATTTATGTATGTATATTTCTATTTTAACTATACTGTACAGTGTAAAACAACTACAAGTGTACTGTAATAGGTCATATGGGCTAAAATACTGAATAAAACTTCCATGTGTCTGCTGATATAATGGTTTTGTGAAAATGAATCTATTTATTGTACCACCACTTGCACAGGAGTTGGTATACATGTCCCTAAAATTGTTTTTCACTCAATCCGTCCCATTGTTTATGCCATGCATATCTCAAACATCAACTGTTATTTTACTGAATATTTTACTGAAACATTCCATAGATGGTTCAGTGGTGTCTTTTGATGACATTTATCATCTAAGTCCTATTTTCCTTATCTGCAGAATAATGTTATGATTGATTACTAGATATAATTTTACATTGCTCCAATGATTCATGATATTGGCAATTGACAAACTTGCAATGTATGTGAGGTACAAATGTATTTTGATTATTCATATGGTGAACTTGTTATGGCATTGAATTCTCTTATCATATTCTGAAATATATCCTTGAAATTAATTAAGAAGATTGAAAAATGTATATATTTTGACATTTTAATGATACTAAATTTACTTAAATAAAATGTTTGGATGAAATTGGTTATGAAATTTACACATCCATTTGATGTACATATGAAGTTGAAGTTTGTGCCTTTGGATAACCCAGAAATTTGAAAAATGAACCAATTTAATGATGCTTTGCAATGTTCCTATTTACAAATACAACAAGTCCTTATCAAAATACCAGTGTACATTCATAACATAAGATGTATGTACTTAGTGTATTTTCCATTGTTAAATTTATTAAAAGATTATATTTTTATCAAAAAATTGGTTATTTATTTCTCTTCATGCCGACATCTACAAGGAAAACAAATGAACTGTTGTAAAAACTTACCATATATGTTAGTTGAAAGTGCTTTCTATCAAGCGTTTCCTTGTCTGGTGTCCATCTCTAAGTGGACCGTCATATGGGTGGTCATTGCCATCCTCTGCAGGTAGGGCTGGCATGGGTGGAAGGCGATGGTTGATACACAGGTTGTGTAGCTGGCACACACCATACACGAGCCGATGACACTTGATTGAAAGTTCCATTTATAGGTTTTTGGCGCTATATCTGTAAAAAGATAGTCTCCTTACTCTATCAGACAATAAATATATGGATAATTTTTCCAATATTTTCATACTTTATCTTAAACTTCATTTTGCAAAATGGTTTAATTCTTTGTAAGTAAATGACAGATTCATGCCTTCAGTTTTGATATAAATGAACTTTTAATCTTTGTGTTTAACACCTTGAGATTATATATTTTTAATTATTTATTTTTCTTATTCTGAAATATTATTTTCATTATGATAATCGAACTAACCGAAACCGAGACTTCATTAGGCCAAAAGCTCTTTCCACTGTGTTCCTTGTTTTACAGAGCGCTCCGTTAAATCTCTCCTCTCCCTGTGTTTGGGGGTTGCTCAGGGGGGTGACCATCCATGGTCTGCAGGCATATCTGAAGGATTTTGTAGATATACACGCAAATGATTTATAAGAGAAATATGAAGACAATGTTAGTAAATACAACACAAATTTAAACTGGATGTATTCTTACTCTTAGTAAATGGAATTATCAAATACATATATTTTATTTATGAAACTTCACTCATTTTAAGCTATGTTATTCCAAAATGATAATCAAATTTACCCTGAATCTCCAAGCAACCATCCATTTCTACCTCCAGACTCTTCTAGGTAGCTTCCAATTGTACTATTATTAAAGATGTAGCTATCATGTGTTGCGCCTGGCCATCTGCATACAACATTGGTGAACCTGTAATAACACAACATACATTTCTACCAACATACCAAGAAGAGAAAATCTTGCTGCCGGAGTACAAAAAATTTATGTGATGCTAATGCTAAAAATATATATTTCCAGGATATATGCAATATGTACCATAGTTTAAATTTCCTTTCCAATATATAATTTATAACCCATACATGTAAGGAATAGTACACCTCTATCTCTAATTGTGTACTCATTTCTTTATGTAAACAATAATGCATGAACATGTCATTTACATCCTTTGCACTCAGTCAATGACATTACAGTGTACAATTCCAGTTTTAATTTTTTTAGACGTTTTCATTAGAATAAAATAACTGTGACACCTCAAACGGGCCTCTCAGGCTTTAAATTCTAAAAATAGATATTCAAATTAATCACTCAATGTCAAGGTTATAGATTGTGAAATAATCACTTCCGCATTTGACTTGCATCAAAATATTACTGTGTTCTCTGTAAATATTGTACAGTAGAGTTGTATACATCCAGTTTTACGTATGCAGGTATGATTTAGAAAGTTATGAGTGCTTTCATACTGACCTTAGATCTCCGTCGCATATGGCTTGGATGTTTACAGCGTGAAATCCCTTCCGGCAAACATACGCTGCCTCCTCGCATGCTTGTGGACGGACGATTGCAATTAGAGTACCGTCGATGCAGCCAAGCACATTGGGAAAGCCAGCAAGTGCGTGAAACACCTGTTTGACTTCCCACTGTGAGGTTGCATCTTTAGGAAAACGTATACGGTCTAGTTTCCGCGACAAGATGTCTACAGTGGTACCAATTGCACGGGAGACAGTAGGCTGTGAAACCCCGTGCAAATCAGCCAATTCCGACTGGAAACCACCCTTCCCCAGGTATCTAAGGGTTATTAGTACTTGAAGATCGGGGTTTAGGGCTCTTGAACGCTGTGTAGCTCTCTCTAGCTCGGGTCGACACAGCTCTGTCACCTCTTGAATCGCTCGCCTTGACAGGCGGTATCGATTAACCAACTCCGCATCGTCGAATAAATCGAGGGGCGCAGTCCGGTTACGATATATCCTTTCGGCATTCTTCTTACAGTCATTCTTTCCCCCAAACATTGCATGAACAAACAAGTACGACGCCATATTGTTTTCGTCTAGGATTTATTTAGGACAAGTCAGACCCTATCCTAGTATTTGTCCTAAGTTAGGATATCCTAGCGCTAGGATACTTTTTAGAGAATAAGGTAGGACACCTATCCCAGACCCTAGGATCAAAGTTAGGATATCCTAGGGCTAGGATCCTTTCGAGAAGAGGGGGCCCTGCTCGCGCGGTTAGTTAGTTAATTGTGTGCATGATTCCATTAAGAAATGAACGCAATCTCAACAAAATATCTCCACCTATGTCCCCGGTCATCTGAAAGCCAAGGCAAGGTCTGTGCGTCTAGTTATAAGGCATAGTGTAACCTGCATTGCTCGTAATGAACGACCTGTTCTGACAGTCAGCACGGGTTGTCCGTGCATGGATTTGGTCAGTGAACCTGATCTACCTCACTCACTCACACGCTGATTTAGTACACTTACGCATGTATGTGCATAGGGGCGTTTTGATTTCCCTGTCTAAATTTTCATGCGGAGACTAGACCAGGTCAAACTGGCAGTACTTGTAGGTCTGATCTATGTTCTTATCTAAACACCACTTGGTTTTCTTGATCAGATATTGTAGCCCATATTTGACCTCGAAGTAAAGGGCACCAATCCTGTCCAAGTATCATACAAGGCACTTATTATTATGTCTATTACCTGCATTGAAAATGAGCATTAGGCGAGGAGGAAATCCCCTCTGCCAGTCTCAGAACGTGTATAAACATCCACAGAACAAGGGGGCGGTTAAACAGCTACACTGAGCAATGGGAGACTACTCTCGATTATTCCCGTGTGCATGTAACGTATAGCAAGTGAAGCCATCGTAAAATAGCCAGTCATCCGACATCAGCTTTGTAGCCATGGCTACACACGAGTACAGACTTCGTGATTTCCATCACAAAAAACGTGTAATACACTCATCTGGGTGACAGCAACACAGCGGGATAGAGCAAATGACCCTTCATTATCTTCATTTGTAATTAGTTTACTCTTATAGCAACTCCAAGATATTTCAAAATAGGCTTGCTTCGGCTGCCTCTCCTGCTGTGTTGCTGTCACCTAGCTAAGAATTGGAATTGATCCAATGAAGGAAGGAAAACAGACTCATGTGTATACCATTCATTAATATTTATTTACATATAATCAAGAAATAGAATGGCAAGTGCTGAAAGAAAGTATCCAAATCGGGGCCAAAAGAGAAGATCAATTCTCTTATTAGAAGAGAAATAAACTTAGAAATGTCAGTCAAAAGGTAAGCCAAAATATACTTGATCGAAAGGGTGTGTCCTGAAATAAGCCAAAAGGGTGTAGCCAAAAGAGACCCAAAATGGGAAATGGTATACCAGACGAGCACCAAAACACATAATCTCACAAAACCCCTTACACACGAACATACATGCAAAACTCATCATCACGCATTCGCCCTCACACTAAATAGCCCATGAAAACACACTCCCTTCCCACCCGCCCACCCCTCTCTCTCTCACTCTTTCTCTCTCTCTCACACACATCGTCTCTCACACACTCACACATACACCCAATCACACATCAGTAACACGCCCTGTCACATGAAAAACACTATCTCTCTCATCTGCATTCAAATGCACATGCAAATCGCATACTCTCACATGCACACTCAATCACACAACATGCACTCTTGCACACATACACAGATACATCGAATCACACATACACGTCTACCCTTATGCACACATACACGCGCGCACACACACTTACACACATACACATACACACACACGCACACTGGATGAGGAATCTACGAGAATACTCTCCTAAAGAAGGCAGCCACTCTCCTCAGCGCCTTCCTAACGGGTGAATATCCTCCACGAAGCTGTCGTCGTCCTCATCCTCATAGACCCAGTAGTCACTGTCGTCGTCACTTGGGACAGGGTAATAGTCGACATAGGTGATGGTGACTGGGGCAGGGAGCGTCTCGCCGTGGTCAGGGCGGGCCCAGAACGGGGTGAAAACACTCAGGGGGTCGGGAGAGGGGCTCGGGGACGAAGCCAGGGGACGCTACATCGGTGAGTGGGGAGGGTGGGAGAAAGGAGGGTTAATGGGTGAGGTTGATAGGAGGTTTTAACGAAACAGTGTTAGAGAATGTCTGAGTGCATAGCCCTGGTCACACACGCTGTGAGATATACTATCCAACGACAAGCATGCTGATAGATTGTTAGAAAGAAATGTTAATGTGTAAATGGGAGAGGGCACCCGGGGACAGACTTTCAGCACACCATAACAGAGTAAGTAACATATCACGTCACGGGTATGCAGGAGACGACTTCGACAAGGACAAAGAAGCAAGCTTTTCGGACCAGTCTGAAGGTCATGTCGAGAAAATACATACACAGTCGGATTCCTCATCCAGCGACGGCCATAGACTAGCAGCAGGAGTGACGTGATACCGTATCATGTCTTCCCGTGCTGAAAATAACACAAACAACCCATTTATAGACACACCAAATACATGTACAGTGGAACCAAAATGTTTTTTGAGGCCGATGAAACGATAGCAAGAAAATAGAGAGTCTTTGGGGACAAGTATAGGCCACGAAAATGCGTTAGAGGAATTCATCTGGGCATTTAATCATTGTTTTGATATACAATCCATCTATTAGTAATGCTACTATACTCCGCATAGTTGAAAAGAAATGTTTAAAGAAACAATATACCAAATCCACGTCTTAAATATACTAAAAACGTCTATTGTCATGTAACAACATCCGCCATAGTACATAAATACCGACAGCTCTCAATTTACTTGTAGAAAGACATTAGAAAGATCAACATTTCTAAATTTCCCCAAAATTGCAAATGGCGGCCAGTAGCATCCACACCGTTACTGTCAAACTATGGCCGATTTCAGTACTAATGTACGCTCTTAACACTTTAAAATACAATGAATGTCTGCTTAAATACCTTGAATATGCAGCCTTGTAAACATCTTGTCAGTAGCAGAACTCGGAACGATGCTGTAGTCAACGAAATGCAGAGCGATAGGTAGTAAGAGCAATGGCGATTCTGTTAAAAACAGAGGGGACCGTTGGCAACGACAACGGTAACTACATAGAGACGAAGTCAGAACGAGGCGTCATCGAATGTTTTCGGCAACGTCAAACAGCCGGCCATAGCTGCATGTCATGGGGCCAAATACCTGGCGATTTTAAGGTTTTAAATCAATGCCTATATGTTCAAACACCGGACATACCGTAGTTCACGAAAACGTCGTACCTGTTAGATGTTGAAAACACACTATTAACTCTCTGAAACCGTGTAAAGATTAGTGCTAATAAGGAGAAGGTTAAGGATTCGTTTTCAGTCAGAAAAGTGCAAGTCTTCCGATTCCCTTTTCGCTAATTCACATATGTTTATCTCCGACAGAGAAGTTGTAGTCTATATGCTTGTTGTGCCAGCAATAATGGAGAGATGTACTTCGGGATTAAAGACATCTGCGTGAAGCTGAAATACAGAGGACATAATTTCTTGACGGGGACCATTTCTTGTCATGGACACTGGACTTACTGACGGCTGAAATCAAACGCCAGAACAAAAGGAAGCAGATCCTGCTTTGAAGGCCGTTGTCATGGTTCCCGTCGGTGATAAAAAGAAGTGCATGTTGTGTTTGTTTGAACAACGAGTATTAACTGGCAAACTGGTGAATGTAGGTAGTTGCTGACAATGTCCATTCATCTGACGTGGGGACTGTCTGGTGGTGTGTAGGGCGTGGTGTACGTTTAAGGATGCCGGTAGCGGCACTAATTGCTGCGGAAAGACAAGCGGCGCACTTCGCCTCGGACACAGGCCTCAGACCACAGTTACCCCCCTTAAGTTTTACCATGACCCGGAAGGAAAATATGAGAATATAGTGCCTTGTTTAAATGGGCTGTTCTGTTTGTGCTAATTTTTCAGGGTTGACTTGTGATAGCTTAAATGAAAGGTAAGACATTGTACTTTATTGCAAATTTTTGGTCCACAATCTACACATGGTATTGACACCAGCCTTCCTTGATTTGACCCCAAGTTCAAGGCTGTCTAGTGTGTTTCGGCTCGTAACTTCCCGTGACCATTGTTTACAGTGGATACAGCAAAATTGACATGGTCGATCCAGGCCCATATTTTGCCGGTTAAGTGACAAGTGGAAGGTTGGTCAGCATGCAACAGGAGAACAGCCTACGACCGATATTAATTATGGTGCACTGGCATGACACTGTAGATAGCAAAGAAGGAAAATAATTGTGGTCTGAGGCCTGCCTGGCTGATAAACGCGCGCTAATAAGCTGACAAGGGTAGTCTCCCCTTGTGCATAGGCCGCGAGCAAGCTGGACAAGAGACTGGTCCATCCGTTCCCTCCAAATACACAGTAAATTAAAGCTAATTAACCTGCTCGCGCGATTAGATAGCGGTGCGTCTAGTTATAAGACATAGTGTAACCTGCATTGCTCGTAATGATCGACCTGTTGTGACAGTCAGCACGGGTTGTCCGTGCATGGATTTGGTCAGTGAACCTGATCTACCTCACTCACTCACACGCTGATATTGTGTATTGTAGCCCATATTTGACCTCGAAGTAAAGGGCACCAATCCTGTCCAAGTATCATACAAGGCACTTATTATTATGTCTATTACCTGGATTGAAAATGAGCAATAGGCGAGGAGGAAATCCCCTCTGCCAGTCTCAGAACGTGTATAAACATCCACAGAACAAGGGGGCGGTTAAACAGCTACACTGAGCAATGGGAGACTACTCTCGATTATTCCCGTGTGCATGTAACGTATAGCAAGTGAAGCCATCGTAAAATAGCCAGTCATCCGACATCAGCTTTGTAGCCATGGCTACACACGAGTACAGACTTCGTGATTTCCATCACAAAAAAACGTGTAATACACTCATCTGGGTGACAGCAACACAGCGGGATAGAGCAAATGACCCTTCATTATCTTCATTTGTAATTAGTTTACTCTTATAGCAACTCCAAGATATTTCAAAAATAGGCTTGCTTCGGCTGCCTCTCCTGCTGTGTTGCTGTCACCTAGCTAAGAATTGGAATTGATCCAATGAAGGA